ATGGGGGAAAGCTGGGAAGGAAAGGTTAGCCAGTACACAGTCTCCTGTTTCACGGAGGACCAGTGCCGGGATGAATGGGTTAAGCCATCATGTTGGGCCCGCCATGTTTGACGGGGCTGCCCAGCATGTCAGCTTTGACTGAACACTTACTGTATGTAAGTCACTGTGCTGGGGCTATACGGCCTGAAGCTATGAATAAGAAAATGTGCCTGCCCTGTAAGCAGTCACAATTTGAGAGGAAGGCACAGACATGGGAAGGCAGACCTTTGTTATAAGGCTCTAAAGGTCAGGATTGAGAACATGCATCTCACTGTGTGACTTGGACAGATTATTTAACCACACTAAGCCTTGATTTCCCCTGTAGTGAAATGGGAATACGAATAATACTGACCTTATAATATTACACTGTTTATGTATTTCCATACACCATAGAAAAGGAAGAACTTGTTTTCCAGATACTCAGAAGAGAGTTGGCCACTGAGAGCTGGAGTGTTCAGGAAGATTCCATGGTGGAGCCCTTAGTTCCCGTTTCCATCTCAGCCCCTTCCTGTGGCTTCAGGCCCACCTCCCTGTGAGTGCTGTCATCAAGGATGCTTCTCAGCCTTCATCTTTGTAACTTTGCTGCAGATTTCAACACTGTGAACTTTTCTTTTTGCGGTTCTCTTTCTTCTGTGATACATGTCAGCCTTTCAGCTTTTGTCTCTTCCTCTCTGCCTTCTTTCCTGCCCCTCAGAAATAAGCACTTCCTGCCAAGCCTCCATCCTCACGACTGTCTTCTGTGTGCTTCCTCCGGAGGGTCTCACCTCCCCCAACCCCTTTATGGTAATGACTTCCAAGTGTGTGTCTCCTGCCCTCTTTCCTGGACTTTATACCCATATTTCTAACCATACCTTATTCTTTCACCAACTATTTATGGACAGTCCACTGTGTGTTAAAGGTGGGCATGGCTTCTGTCCTGTGGAACTTCCACATCAACCAGGGAGACTGTCCCTAAGTGGCCAGTCGTCCCATTAGTACTTAATTACAATTGTGACAAGGGCTAAAAAGGAGGAGAAAAGTCCAACTGGGAGGTTGACCCAGTTCTTCAACATGATCAGGAGAGGATCCACTTCAAGGCGAACTCTTGGAGTGGGCAGGGAGTGAGGGAAGAGGACAAGCGGGACTGAGCAGATCCCTGGCAGAGAGGGCTTCATGGGCTAAGTACTGAGTCAGGAAGGAGAGGGAGGCTAGGAAGAGCTGAGAGAGGGGCGGTGTGGGGTGGTGTATTAGTGGGCTACAAGGAAGGTCCATGGGGGAAGGGGTGTGACATGAGGCTGGAGACAGGGAAGGGCCCAAAAGACATGTAGGTGCAACTCTGCAAGCTTGAAAAGGGTGCGATTATGTTTGTACCCCTGAAAGATCACTCTTGCTGCTGCTATGTGGAGAGAAGGGAGTAAGACTAGAGTTGGTGTCAGGAGGAGACTGTGAGAGTCCAGGGGAGTAATTATTATAGTTTGGAGTAGGCAGTAGTGGGGGGGGCCGGTGGCAGCAGAATTAAAGAGAAACAGCCAGATTCCAGAGGTATGTAGCCGGCAAGATCTCCAGGATTCACTGGTAGATTTTATGAAGGGGGAGGTCTCAAGGGTGATGATTGGGGCTTTGGCTGGCTCAACTATTCACAGAGCCAGGGAGCACAGGAGGAGGAGCAAGAAGCCAAATGCTGAGTGTTCTCCACGGTAGATTTTTGAATGTTGAGTTCATTTCTTGAACATGTGTAGCTCTGTGGAGCCATGTGGAAAGGTGGAGTAGGAGGGTGAGCATGTGGAGTGCAGAAGACTGTCTGGAACGGAGACAGACATGCAGAAGTCATCGGTGTAGGAGACGGTCTGGGAAGGGTACAGAGTGAGAAGAGGGCAGGGCTGGGAGACGTCCAACACTTAAAAATCACCAAGGGAAACTGAGGGCTGGGCAGAAGGTGAGGAAGAAAACCTGGAGTGTAGAGTTCCAGAAGGGGAGGGAAGAGAGTGTCAGAAGGATGGGGAGGGCATCCGACATAAGCATCACAGAGAGGTCAGTAAGGTGAGGGCTGGAAGACGTCCTGTGGATTTAGTGACACAGAAGTCACTGGTGACCTTAATGAGACCCTTCTTGGCAGCATGATGAGACAGAAGTGTGTTAAGGAGTGTATTGTGGTGAGAAAATGGAGGCAGAGAATGCAAAAGAAATGAGGGATGAGAGCCTACTGACTTTTTTTTTTTTTGAGATGGAGCCTGGTGACATTTTAAAGGGAGATATTTGCACATGCTCACGAGCTGCCAACAAGGATCCAGGAGAAAGGGAAAGCGGATGAGACAGACAGGAGAGACTGGATTAACTAATGGGTGGTTGAGGCTCTCAGGATGTGGGACCCAGAAGACAGCTGCAGGCTGGTCCAGAGAGGAGGAGACACCCTCCCTATTGCACCCAGGGAAGAGGGAGAAGGAGGTGTGTGCAGATGGAAATGGTTTAATTCTCAGTGAAAAACCGAGGGGGCTTCCAAATGAAGTAAGGCAGTTCCTGAGATAGCAGGAAGAATGCGGTGGGGGAAAGTAGGATGAATGTTTGGGAAGAGTTCTGGCTGGAGTGGCCTTGATCAGAGTAGTAAGTTGACCGGAGAATCACAGGGAAGTCCTTAGGAAGTGTGAGGAGCCCACCTGAACTTGGTGGCCATGAAGGCAGATGGAGATTGGTCTCTAGTGTGATTTTGTCTAGAGAACTTGGCACATAGAAACCAGGTACTGAGTTCATTCAAGGTTGGGGTTTCACTGGGTGGATGTGATAAAAGGCAGTGAGGCAAGGGCATCTTCTGGTTGTCACCTTGATGTCCCACGGACATGTCATTCTCAATATGTCCCAAAATCTGCTCCTCTTTCTAAATTTCCCATTTTGGTTAATAACAATACAATCATCTAATAATGTCTCTAATAACAGTTATTTATTAAGAACATGATATCAGATATGAAAACAGATATTATTTTTTTAGAGATGAGCGCTTGCTATGTTGCCCAGGCTGGTCTCGAATTCCTGGGCTCAAGCAATCCTCCCAACCTGGCCTCCCAAAGTGCTGGGATTACATGTGTGAGCCACTGTGCCTGGCCAATACCAGATATTTTAGAAGAATCATCTCATGATCATCCAACAACCTTAGGGGTAAGTATTATCCATTTTACAGACATGGCTCAATGAGCTTATGTAACCAGCTCAAGGACTCCAGTAAACAGCAGTCAGGATGAAAACTTAGATCTGTGAGGCTCCAAAGTCCTTCCCCTTCCCCATGGCCATACCACCTGTAAGTTCTGTTGCCTTACCACTGCCTATCTCTGATGTGTTCCTTCCTCCCACCTCCCACACCATGTCAGTTGTCACATTCTATTTGCTCATCTCTGTCCTGTCTCTTGCTACTTCCTGCCATGCCACTCCACCCCATCTGCTTCCCTAGTTGATTCCACCAGAATGTAAACCCCACAAAGGCAGAGATTATCATCAGTCTCGTTTTCTGCTGTGTCTTGGAGGCCTGGAACAGCTTAAAGTGACCATTAGGCTCATTAAATCGTTGTTGAATAAATTTGTCTATTGGGAGATAATTCTCTGTGGGGGTCTTGTGTTCCCACCAGCCTTGTGGGCAGAGGCACTGATGGCTTTTTTGTTCCCACTATCTTTTGGAGGATGGTTGCATAGCAAACGTCCTTGAACGATAGTGTCTCCCTCTGGCAGAGGGCAGTTCTGTTTGCTGTCCAGTAGTCTAGGGCCAATATTGGGCAAGTTTGCTTGCAGTGCATTATAAAAGCCTGGGGCTTCCTAAGCTCGGAGTTCCTCAGTGTGTATGGTCCAGTCTCATGTCCCTTCCATGGGACTTCAGAGTTAAGGAAAGGTGATCTGAATGTGAAGCTCTTGCAGCCTACTGTGCCATGAGTAATTAAAGTCCTTGTGTCTGGCCCAGAGTTTCCTGTCTTCTGCTGGCATCCATGAAACTGCGGCGGGTTAACTTAGATAACAAGTGTAAAATCTCAGACCCTTCAGAATTCTTGACAATGGCCCTTACCATCTTCCGCTTCCTCCTAAACACCTGCCTCCAATGCCAAAGGTGCCCTTAGTGTTCACTAGAGGAGAGATAATTCATCCAAGCTCCCGTAACAGCCCCTCAAGGCCCTGGCAGGATGGCTCCTGACTCCCTGTTTAACCTCACCTCTCATCACCCCCACCCCTGCTCCAGCTCAGGCAACCTTCCCTTGCGTGGGTTCCTACTCTCTTGCATCTATGCCCTTGTCATGCTGCCCACTCCACAGGGGTCATCCTTCTCCCCTTCTGACTGTCCATCCTTTAGACCAGGATCCTCCAAGAGACCGACCCAGAGACCAGTCAGAATTTCCCTGCCACTGTACCCCCACTTTACGTATCCTTTGGCTTTGTATTGTGAAGACCTGGGTCAACCCACGCTGCCTCTCCCGGAGGTTCCATCCCCTCACCTTGTGATCCTTTCGGCCTCTGTAGCCCCGGCATACAGTAGGTGCTCAACAGATAAGTGATGCCCTGAAGAGTTGACCTGCACAGGGAACGGCCTTGCGGGATGGTAGGATGGAAGGACGGAGGAGTGGAAAAGACATCCCGAGGAAAGGGAACAGAGGCATGGAGGTGGAAATGTCTAGGGCAGGGGGAAATAATCCCATGGAGTCAGATTGAGTTCATAAAGGAAGGCTGAAAGTGAGGCCCAGGGTCCAGGAGGGCTTTAACCACCGGAGCCCCATTCCCCTCCGAGGGCAAAAGCCCTGGCGAGGGCTCCAGGGTCTGAGTCCCTTGACCAGGGGCCTCAAGAGGCTAAGCCCCTTGCAATACCTCTTCCGCCTCCCGCCCCGCGCCCCCCGCCCACCCTCTCTGCCTACGTCGGCCATCAGAGCCTCGCATTGACGCGGGCCCGCGCGTGAGTCAAGCCTGCGTCACGGCGCCCCGCCGCCAGGGTGGCCTTTCGGAAAGCGAGGGAACACTGCGCGCTGCGCTCCGCCCAGCTCCGTTCCGCTCCGCAGAGCCGGCACGACCCGGGCGCAGGGAGGGCGCCACAGTCTTGGCAGCCCCGCGCGCTCCCTCCGCCGCGAGACCTGGGTCCCCGCGCCGCTCCCCTGAGCCCCTAGCGCGCGGCGGGCGGGAGCCAGGTTGGGACTGGCGGTGAGGCTGGGAGTGAGGAGCGAGTGGAGTCGCGTGCGCCGGCGCGCAGCTCCGGTCGCCCAAGCCCCAGCCGGGGGCCTGTGGCCCGGAGGAGGAGCTGTGCGTCCGCGACCCGTCGGGGACCGCGGCTGCTCGGCGGGAGTGCACGGGCCGAGTCTGCGCGACTGCCCACGCGTGACAGGTGAGTCGCCGACCGCGCCCCGCCTGGCTTTACCGGGCCGGCCATTGCAACTTTCCCTGTTCTGGCCCCGCCCCAGCCAGGCAGGGCTGAGGACCAAGGTGCGAGGCGGCGCTCTCCCCTCATCCGCTCGACCCTGCGCCGGTCCCGGGCTTCTCTCGCTGCTCCAGCCGTCGTTGCCTGGCGACGGAGCCCCGGGGCCCGCTCTCCTTCGCGCATCGGGGTGCCCAGCGGCGCACGCACGGGTTGGACACCAGGCTTCAGCTTCTGGTGCTCAGGAGGGCCCAAGAACTCCGGAGGAAATTGGGCTGAGCTGCAGAGGCAAGCGCCTGCGGAGAACCCGGAGGGGGCCTGCCCGGCCCATCCGCGGCTTGAAACTGCGCGCCCAGGGCGCAATTCCACTGGGAGCCTCCTGTGCGGCTGGAGACCCCAGCCCCAGCCGCTCGGCCTCAGGCCTGTGACCTTGACAGTAGCATTGGCAGCGAAGCAGAACGCTCAAGCCCGAGATGAATATTTAATTCCCAGTCCTGGGGCTGATCCTTGCTGGATTCGGAGCCAGCAGAGAGCCCTTCCTCCCTTGTGGGAAGCGCATCTGGGGAACGGAGTGGCTGAGATAGGGGACTTGCGTGGGGTTCCCATCTGGAGGGGGCGTAGTCCTGGCCGGGCGAGAGGCCTCTGCTACATTTATACCTGTGTGCACCGTGCTCTGAGGCGATGCTGGATGCTCGCTTTACTACAGAGAGGGCCGCTCCCCCAGGGGCGCGGCCGCCTTGGAAAGAAGCGTGATGTTTCCTTTTAGAGGCCAGACAGGCCTGTCAGAAATCAAGTTCAGAAATCCCAAGGCCATTCACCTTACAGGGCCTATGCCCTGTCAAGTTGGCTTTAAAAAATATTTTTTGACCCATTCCTCTTCCCTCCCCCCACCTTTTTTTTTTTTTTTTTAAAAAGAAATACTTTAACAGGCCTTTTGGATTTGGAGATTTCTAACCAGAGCTACCTTTGGGGCAATTCATCTGTGAACTTGCAACAGATGGGGATGGATTGGGGAGACAGGGAAGTGGTAATAAGAAGGAAGATTCTTTTTCCGGGCACTGTCCTTGTTAACAGGAACTTCAGGAACAAAGACAATCCTGCAATGGCTCCCAAAAAATTCAAGCGAAACTTTAGTTAGCGCCTAACTGCGAAGGCCTTGCTGGCCACGCTGATTGATGTCTGGAGAACAAGGTCAGAGTGTGCTGAGGTTAACAGTGGGGGGTTCTTAAGTCTCGTTCTGTGCTTACATTATCCCATGGCTCTGTGAGGCAGACCCATCACCTGGGCAGGAAGAGTTTTGAGGTCACACCTGATTGTCCTTGGCCATGGCCCATCCACGGGGACCATCAGAGGCTTTAGCTCCGCTGCCGGATTTTTCTCTAATGGAACATCTGTGGCTAAGTAGGTGGTTGAGTTTCAGCGAATCCCTGCAGCTCAGCCTGGAGGGTGACTCAGTGCAGGAGGCAAATCGTGCCCACCAGCTTTGATTGGAGTGAGTTTGTTTGGCCTGAGTCACTCACAGAGTCGTGTGTCAGCTGACTGTGAGTTGAATGGAGTTCTTTAGCAGGATTCGTGAGCAGGAATGGCCTGAGCCCAGGTGTTTCAGGCAGAGATGGGCAAGTTCTCTGAGGGAGCTAAGCACAACTTTGGCTGCTGAGCAAGTTTCCTGGAGCTCTGACTCCATGGGAAGGTGAGCAGGGCCAGGCTGGGCTGGGCAGGGAGATGGGGAGAGTTGAAGGGGAGGGAGTGGAAAGGCTCTGTGATTGTGGTCAGAACTGGGCCCAGTGTTCTGCCATGTGCCAGTTGGGTGACCTTGGGCAAGTCATTTCACCTCGGGAGTCTCAATTTCCTGAGCCGTAAAACAGATGCCTATGATATTTTTTCTGCAGGCTTATTTTGAGCCAGGTGTTAGACACAGCAGGCTCATCAGATGTTAGTTTCCCATCCCTTCCCTTATGGGCCGTAACCAGAGGCAATTCTTTCTCTCACTGCCCCGGCTCCACCATGAAAGGAGATGTGGAGACACGTGAAGTTTCGGTGCTTCCCATGTGATTAAGAAGGACCCGTAACTCAGCTTTACACAGGCCTGTTTCCAACCCTCAAGTCTCTCCATGAGACCCTAAATTGGGAAGCCTCATTAAGAGCAGGATTAGTGTTGGGGTAGGATGGGGTTCAGCTGTGCTGGGTCTGCTGGCTGCCCTTGGCCACCTGCAACAGCTCTGGGGTGACTCCAGGACAGACCTTGACTCCTTTGTGTTGCTTTCTGACTGTGGCCTTGTCCCAAGCTGCAGCACGTGCTGGGTGGACTTCAGGGATCATTTCTCTTTGTTCAGGTCTTGACATCCTCCTCCCTAGTCATTCTATCCATAATAGAATTGAAAGCTACAGGAGAACTGTTCAGGAGAACTGAGGCTGGCCTTTCCTGGAGAGGAAAAGGGAGGTGTGGGACTCCTGTTTTCCTGAAGGATCCTGAGCCCCTACTTTTCTCCTTCTGTAAAACGTCCAGATTTTGATGCTGAGCTAAGATGTGTGTGCCTTAAGAGTGAAGGAGAGGCCGGGCGTGGTGGCTCACGCCTGTAATCCCAGCACTTTGGGAGGCCGAGGCGGGTGGATCACGAGGTCAAGAGACCGAGACCATCCTGGTCAACATGGTGAAACCCCGTCTCTACTAAAAATACAAAAAATTAGCTGGGCATGGTGGTGTGTGCCTGTAATCCCAGCTACTCAGGAGGCTGAGGCAGGAGAATTGCCTGAACCCAGGAGGCGGAGGTTGCGGTGAGCCGAGATCGCACCATTGCACTCCAGCCTGGGTAACAAGAGTGAAACTCCATCTCAAAAAAAAAAAAAAAAAAAAAGAGTGAAGGAGATAAGGGGTTCCCCACTGCAGCAAGAAAGAAGCCATGCTGGCTCTGGGGACTCCAATCTGCTACTGGAAATGTGTGTGTGTGTGTTCGCGTGCTCACATGCACATGTGTGTATGCATTGCCATTCATTTTGGAGCCAATGTCCTCCCCATTGGATCTAGGAGCAAATTCCAAGGATGACAGAAACAGAGATGAGGGCCGGGCGCGGTGGCTCAAGCCTGTAATCCCAGCACTTTGGGAGGCCGAGGCGGGTGGATCACGAGGTCGAGAGATCGAGACCATCCTGGTCAACATGGTGAAACCCCGTCTCTACTAAAAATACAAAAAATTAGCTGGGCATGGTGGCTCGTGCCTGTAATCCCAGCTACTCAGGAGGCTGAGGCAGGAGAATTGCCTGAACCCAGGAGGCGGAGGTTGCGGTGAGCCGAGATCGCGCCATTGCACTCCAGCCTGGGCAACAAGAGTGAAACTCCATCTCAAAAAAAAAAAAAAAAAAAAGAAACAGAGATGAGAAGATTCCAGAGAAGCAGTTTCCTTCTGCCTGTGCACCCTCCTTTCCCTTAGACTCCTTTCCCTTTTCTGTCCGGGTTTGCTGCAGCAAGACAATTCATTATTAATCCCTTTAAAGCTGCTAAGATAAGCAGCAGAATAGTTTAAAGGGAATATGGGTTTAAACTTTTTTGCTAGGACTAGCTTTGAGTTATCACTCGTTCCCAGGCTGAGCTCTACGTCCTCACAGCCAAACATTGGAGCACCAGGATGGGAAAACAAAACAAAAAACATGTCACCTCAGCCCCTGACCGATGTTGCTGGCTGCAGAGGTCAGAAGCACAGTGCCATAGGTAGATCTGATTGCTAGAGCACTATCCCAAACTCAAGTGGGACAGTGATCTGTGAGGAAATGCCTGCTTTGCGTGTTTTTAGGAGGGGTGAGTGCATTCCGGATTCCAGCAGCTCACACTGTACTTGGCACGAATTGATAATATCCAGTTGTTTATTGAGGCTTCTGTGCTGTGCTAAGTGCTTTATTCCCAGACCATCTCATTTAATCTTTTACAATCCCAGGAGGCAGATATTGCTATCTGTACTTTACAGATTGTAAAATTTTAAGGTTCAGAGAGGTTAAATAATTTGCTCATGGTCACATGGATAGTGAGTAGCAACCAAAGAATTGGAAGTCTGTCAGTCCAAACTTCATGTTCCTAACCTCTATGTGATAGTTTTCTGCAATACATTCTTAATAAACGCTGACAACCTAAGCATTTACGCAGACAAGATTGTCTAGACCTGCGAGTCCAGTTTTTTTAAGCTAGTGCCCTGGGAAAAGGGGAAATGGGCCTGCACTAATCGCAAATTGGTGGGAAATGAACATAAGCACATGTCCAAGGTTTGGGGAATATGGTATTTGGCTCCAGGTGGGTTGAAATCCAGAAAAAGACCCCAGGCTCCATCTTGGTGCTTTTTTTGTCCTTTCCCTGCCCTTCTCTTCCTGACCTCTACTGCCCTTGACCTCATTCCCTTAAAAATATGTCCAAGCCAGGACTGGCGCGGTGGCTCAAGCCTGTAATCCCAGCACTTTGGGAGGCCGAGGCGGGTGGATCACGAGGTCAAGAGATCGAGACCATCCTGGTCAACACGGTGAAACCCCGTCTCTACTAAAAATACAAAAAAAAATTAGCTGGGGCCGGGCGCGGTGGCTCAAGCCTATAATCCCAGCACTTTGGGAGGCCGAGGCGGGTGGATCACGAGGTCGAGAGATCGAGACCATCCTGGTCAACATGGTGAAACCCCGTCTCTACTAAAGATACAAAAAATTAGCTGGGCATGGTGGCACGTGCCTGTAATCCCAGCTACTCAGGAGGCTGAGGCAGGAGAATTGCCTGAACCCAGGAGGCGGAGGTTGCAGTGAGCCGAGATCGCGCCATTGCACTCCAGCCTGGGTAACAAGAGTGAAACTCTGTCTCAAAAAAAAAAAAAAATGTGTCCAAGCCAGGGGTTCGTGTGTGGAGCAGTGAGAAGAGTCAGAGCCAGGTGGATGTTGCCCTGAGAGTTTCTGCATATGCAGAATCAAGGATGGCCACTGGCTGATGGGACCTTGGTGGGTCA